TTGGAATTTTTTCTTCAAAACTGTGTGGTCTTATAATTTTATTCATTTCACCTGAGTAAATCAAGTAAAGGAAATATGTGTGCCATACAATGCCCAACCACCCAAATGTCCTGCAAAATACAGTCAAAATACTATAATGCATCCCTTCCTCCAAAAAATTCTCTTAAAATGAACAAGCATTTTAATTTATTTTTCCTCGAGCAGATTTACATACTAAATCCATCAGGTGAAAGTACATAACCATACTACAAATGTTCTTCTATATTTAATCATCAGACTTAAAAAGACTATGAAAATATCAATTATTTTCTAAACTTCAAAGTACATTAATTTATGGCTGCTTAAAAAGGTTTATCAACTTCGTATCTGCATGCACTGGCTTTATATAAAATACACTGGTAATACGAAACTTTTTCTTAACTGAATTGGTTAGATTCCAACTAATCATGATCTTCTCATAAAACAGTCACGTGAAATTCTTCCCCTTTGAGTATAATTTTTTTCTTCAAAACCTGATAAGTCTACAGATTCTGTCCATCATACTAAGGGTCAATCCTTAATTTATGAAATCATGAACCCTTGAAATTCTAACAAGCTAAGGATAATCATCCTTCCAGATACCATAAAAATATACTGATACTGGTGCATCACTGCATTTTACAACAGGGAACTCCATGAACCATATTTACATGTATTATATATCACAACTAATGCTTGTTCTTTACAAATATACATGTCTACAGATCTTAGTGCTTCTTTCCTCCATATTTTCTAACAAAAGCTGGGACATCAAATTTCCTTTTGCATCCTTGATAATTCATAAAGCGTATCTTTCCAAACACGGGTCTCTCTCCCCATCCCTGGTCATGAATACCACATATGCTCCACATACAACCTGTAATAATAAACAACAGTTATGTATTACTAATTAAATTGTTGAGGATATAAGATAATTTACTGAGAAGTAATTGTTTAGCATCTTGATTGGCGATATAAATAACATACAGGAATAAATATGTGACTGACAGTCACAAAAATATTGGAGGTAATACCCACATATTTTGTAAGCTCTTGATAAAAAGAAAAACAATAATTTAAAAGGGGTACGTACGGATAAAATTTAGTCCCAAAATATTACACGTCCCTATACTCCCGTTACCGATAGATACGTAAAGGAAAAACGGAAAAAACGTCTTTTTAGATTTAAATACCGATAGATCCGATTTTTTCTGCTGTCCTATATATTTGCGTTCCTATAGATACGACGTCCTCATAAACCCACGTCCTTTAAATCTGCATACCTATAGATCCACGTATTTTTAGATCCAAATACCGATAGATCAATTACAGGTACACTATTGCTCAAAATGGTTGGTGTACTACTCAGTACATAAAATGCACTTCTTTAAAACGACAGCACACATATTTAATTCTTTCAGCAATATATTATTCTACTAAATCGTTTTCACACAATACTCAGTGAAAGAACATAACAAGAACAAAAGTGTGTTCTATACGCTTACTGTTCTAGCGTCAGAATACTGTTTAAAGCGTTCTCAAAATGTAACATTCGAACACGTAAAAAGTGTTCTGAATTTACATGTAAATGGTCTAAACAAAACAAAACAAAACAAACAAAAAAGAACATAAAAATGTGTTCTAATTTCACAACGCAAGTTGATATGGGCCTTTTAGCCGATTACGATGTCAGATAGATGGATCTAGCGGTACCTGGATCTAAAGATACTTGGGTTTATAGGAATCTGTTGGTGGATCTATCGGAACGTAAATTTAACAAGACGTAAATCTATTGAGACGTGTATGTATAGAGACGTATCTATCGGGACTAATATTTTATTGGGACGTTTATCTATATGGCGGACCCCTTTAAAAGGAATAAATATGATATGTTATACTGGTCAACAAGTGTAAATCCCCCCTCCCCCTGCCACCGCCACCATTTTTTAGTGTGAACATGTTGTGATTAATCCCAGGAATGAGCTAGCTGTGTAAACCAAAATCAAAACCCATGATGGAGACGAATACTGATCTAGAAATGATGGGAAATGATGTTGACCTAATCAAATGCATCACATTCGCATACTAGCTCTCTCTCTCTCTCTCTCTCTCTCACACACACACACACACAAACCCAGACACAGACACACTGATGCACATGCACTGACATATTCACTGACACCCATTCACAAACACATGCACACACACACTGACACACACATGCACTTACATATCCACTAAGAAAGTCCCACTGACACACACAAACACACAAGCACATGCACAAGCACATACACAACACACTGGCACATACACAACACACTGGCACATACACAACACACAAGCACATACACAACACACTGGCACATACACAACACACAAGCACATACACAACACACTGGCACATACACAACACACAAGCACATACACAACACACAAGCACATACACAACACACTGGCACATACACAACACACTGGCACATACACAACACACAAGCACATACACAACACACTGGCACACACACAAACACACAAGCACATACACAACACACTGGCACATGCTGAGATCATGACAGTCACAATATTAAACAAAATGGGCTAGAGTATGTAGATGTAATAATTTACATTTTTTATTGCAAGAATAACAACGAAAGCAGTCTGCTTTTCCATGGGCCACATTACGCATTTGCTGATTAAACAAAAAACATGATAAAACCCACACAGAAAGATAAGACTACCGTATATTTAGCACAGTACCTTGTGACTTTAGGACTTTAGACTTTACGTCCTCTCCCAACGTGAAGTAGGAAGTGGGTACATAAACAGGTAAAATAATTATAAAATACATTGTTGATTGCAGGATACATGGAACCTTTTGGAGTATTTTAAAAATCATTTACTTAACACAAGAGTTTACTATTAAGCTGTTGTTGCATGATAAAAATGTGTCTTTAACTTGGACAGGGGCCAAACCTACATGTACGGTGTAGTGCTCATGTTTCTCACTGGGCTTATGGAACATTAGAACATTCCAGAACTAATCAAACAAAGGAAGTGGGTTAGAGAGTTTTAGAGAAATAAATTGCATGGGTAAAGTTGAAACAAGCTGAAACATAGTTCATCTTTACTAAGACATAAAATGAAATCAAAACCATGCAATCTATGTTGATTGAACACTTCATTTTCAGACAAAGCCTTGTCATTAAGAAGATCAACAGTGAAACCTCAGTGGACGTCATTTGGGACATCTCACAGGCAGTAACATTGGGTCACCTGAAAAATTAACACGTAAAAAAAAAAAAAAAAAGAAAAGAAAAAATCTGAATA